TTGCCTGGAAGCAGACCAGGGGAACAGCACCAGAGAAGGGGCAGAGACCATTACATAATATCCCAAGTCACACCTCTATGACACATCCAGACACACCCAGGAGTGAGTTTTATTAAATTCCCTGGTCGTTTCCCTGGTCTCTCAAGTTGACAATTATGCCTAAAGGTCACAGTGCTCAATAGTATTTGGTGACATTTATTGAACTGCAGCCACTTGGTACCAACCTGTTTAAATATGGGAAGTAAAATTCCTGTGGAGTTTGTCTAGATTATCTTGAACCACTACAAAGTCAGACTTGAAAAAAGTTTTGAGCCAAGCATGGTTGTGTGGGCATGCTGTAATCCCAGCACTCTGGAAGGCTAAGTCAGGAGGATCACAAGTTTGAGTCCAATCTGAGTGTCTTGGTGAAGCACTGTTACTAAAAAACAAACAAACAAAAAAGGGGGTGGGTAGGAGAGATAGCTCTGTGCAGAGGCACTAGTTTGCATGCTTCAGTACCACTGGGAAAAAAAATAGACATTTTGAACATTAAATAAATATTTGCATGCTCTTCTCTCCAAAGTTGAATGTAGTTTAGCCCATGTAAAACCAAACCATTAAGTTAACAAAATGAAATTTTTGAAGTAGTACTTTTTGTTTATTGGGTAGTAGTTTTTCTTGTTGATCAATTCAGCTGGATAATACAAACCTGGCATATTGTACTCTACATGCAAAATAAATGTGAAATACTGCCTGTGATTACAAGAATCTTGTTTAGAATTTTCTTACTTCAGAATATTTTATGAATTTTCTTCCTTTAGAATATTTTTTTAATCACAAGATTAGCACCTGCTATGGATAAACTATCGGTGCAGTGTAGTACATCCTTTGTAGAAAGCACTGCAAAATTCTGGGAGAATTTTGTGAAATAAAGAAAATGCTTCACTCTCATTATGTAATTCAAGTCATATAATTTTCCCGGGGTCTCTTGTAGTGCATTTACTTTGCTCATCTCTTCTTCTAGCACTATTTGTTCAGACATTTTTTTGTCTCCCAAGAGGAAAATATCCAAAAAGAAGACTGTTTTATTGAAAATGGAAAACAGAAGGTTAAGCCAAGGGGCCATTAGTGTACTCATCTGTGAAGAAAAGTAACCAGACCAAATGACTATGACTCAGACCTAGGACAAAATAAACAAGTCATGCCTTTTCTGTGTAGGCTTAAACTGTTTAATTTTCCTTCTTTCCTATCTCCTTAATGGCTCCCTTCATCAGATGATTTCCCTCACAGCTCATGCACTACCACCCTTTCCTCATAATTTAGATTTAAAAGTTTTTAATAACATTTTCTTTTTACCCCACTCATTTGTGATAAGGAAAATGAGCACAATTTCTAAAGCACTGAAGGTCAGATACCTTGTAATAACTCACTGTGTTTACTTTGTTTGTTATTATTGCAGACATGAAAGTGTTGTACAATCATTGTTTTGTCGGGGTGTGGACCAAACAGGGCCTCACAACAGGTCAGGGAATCTTTCTATCCCTGAGCTCTACCAGCAGCCCTGATAACTCCAAGTTGTACAGTATTTCTGTGACCCTTCAAGAATAGTCACTTGAGTCAAGAAAAACAGGCAGTATTAGAGGGTAGCCAGTGTCTAGGATACTTAAAAGTATTATAAAAAACTTAATCAGTCTGTATCTTTTTCTTCCAAAATTCATAATTTAATCCATAAGGTTTAAGAGTACTGCATTTTCCATTTTCTTTTAAAATTGACAAGTCATTAATTTAAAAACATAATCATTTTACTTTGAGAGTATGAGATTGCTATTCTCTGGTTTGAGCTAGAAGCTTTCTGTTTTCAGACCTTTATGTTGCAGATGAAGAAATTGAGGCCAAGAGAGCTTAGGCAGTTGGTTCAAGTTCATAAGGCCAGTGTCAGAAGTGAGACTATGATGTCACTGAATTCTTTCTTTTTCCTCTTATAACAAGTTTTCTTTCTTCCTAATTTGAGTTTTCATGCCACATTATTTTCCTTTTATAAACATGCCTAATTTAATTTTTCTTTATTAAAACATAAATATGTTGAAGAATGACTACTGGTTTCAGAAAGCTTTGCTTTTCGTTGTTGTTTTTTAATGTAGAGGGTTCAGTCTGGCAAGGCAAGCTGTGAAAATGCCTTCCTGTGAAATAAGTGCTTAGAATCACACCCCACTTCCAACTGTCCTGGAGTGGGAAAGACATAGGAAGTGGGTTGTGGAGAACCGAGAGTCTGGCAAGGTTCCCCAGAATGCTCAGTGCTGTGTGGTTGTTGCTGTTCTGGGAGGCCTTGTCCTGATCACGTGCTTGTTTTTTGCTGTCCTTGTGTATGAACCTGCACAATGAAGACATTTATTTGAAGAGATTAAGCAGCTGGCTTAGGATCAGTAGCTGCATAATATTGTTGATATGAATGTGATCTCTCAGGGATCCTGTTAAGGCTCTTTGAGAATTAGTCTGCTTTCTGGTTATACTGGGGACACACTGACCAATATGAAGTATGATGGAAAGTTACAGAGTTTGAATTAAAAAATGTATCATAGTAAAAACACATTGCCATTAATCCTGTACAAATACCCCTCCTTGCTTAGAACACACTTGTCTGGTCTTGCCATGCTTTTTCTTTTGTGGCAGAGTCTCGCTGTGTAGTCCAGGCTGGGATTGATGGTAATGTATTTTTTACTGTAATGTTTTAAACATTTTAAATATTCACTGTATATATATTTTTATTACCCCTTATACATTGATTTAGGTGCATTTAATGTGTGAAAATCCACAGGTTTAGTTTTTCTGGCTTGTTTTTAAGTAGATGATAGCCTTATAAATTCAAATTCAAGCTCATGCCTTGGTCCGGGAGTAGGTGAATTTTTACAGTGCTCTCATGTGCAAGTAGAAAAGTATAGTACCTAGTGCCCACTTCATTAGGAGCTGACATGCCTTGCTTCTTTGTGTGTGTGTCTGTGTACGCCCACGTGTGTGTGTGTGTAGTAAGGACCTTACAATAGATTTGTTTCTAAAATATAATTGAGAAATTGAGAGAACTGTTATTTAATGGTATCTCAAAATAAATATTCTAATAGAAGGGATAATCCTTTTGGATTTATTTGATTTATTTATAGATTTTCTAAGGATTACATAAAATGTGTTTTTAAAAACAGTGTTAAAACTTTCTTTTACTGTAGTAAATTTTATGACACCAAAAATTTAACTGAATTCCCTTGGGAATTAGGAAATTGAAATGAATGCCAGTTTGTACAGAGGGAGACATGGTTTCAGTTTTGCTTGCCATCTCTAAGTACTGTACAGTTGGCGTTGGGAGTAATAGTGCTGAGCTCTGGAGCCTAAGTTTATTTTTTTAAATTTATTTTTTATTTTTATTTTTTGAGACAGGGTCTCACTATGTAGTTGAGACTAAACTGGAACTCACTATGTAGCCCAGGCTGGTATCGAACTCACAGTGATCCTTCTGCCTCAGCGTCTGGAGTACTGGGATTACAGGTGTGCACCACCACACCTGGCTTGAGCCTAAATTTAACACTTACACTACTTACTGATTTGTAGGTAACAGTGCCAGATGATATTTGAATATTAATAGCTTCTGTGACTTAGGTAAAAAGTTCTAAGACTAGATACAGGTGTTGGTAAGTTTGATATGAAACTCCTCAGGGAAATTTTTCATCAATTAAAACTGATCCTAACAACATAATGCAGGGGGTGTCACTCAGCAGTAGAGCACATGCCTTGCATGTGGCCCTGGGTTTGATCCCTAACATCACAAAAACCAAAAACACAGATATTGTGCATATTTGTAGCTAAGATAAAGTGGTATAATGGCATGTAAACTGTCTTTCTGAAATGAAAGACCACTCTGGTTCCTGCTCACACCAGGCCTTTTCTTGTATTGTATAGTCAAATGGTTTTCATCATCATTTTAGATCTTTCAATACTTACAGCTGTATGTTTATCTGACATTTTTCAAGGGCAAAGGAGTTTAACTCATACTTAAAAAGTTCACCCCAGACTGGAAAGCCTACAGAACTAGGGCTACAGGTTCAGTAGTTGGGGTCCTGATTCCTCCTCTTTCTTAGCCCCACCTCTTTAGCTCTTTTCATGACAGCAGCACAAAGTAACAGGACCTTGAAATGGCCCTGAATTACTACAAGGTGAGAAAATGGAAATGTGGCATCCTGCATTGAGCACCAGCCATAATTGCCAGCTTTGACTTTTGTCTGTGCAGATCTTGTCCTTATGGGAGTTGTCCTTGCTGGGCTGACTAAACGAAGCTTTTGGGGAGTCTTTGATGGTTTGATCTCTAAAGTCACAGGTTTAAATCAGGCCTGTGGGAAAGCAGTTGCAGGCTGATTTTGTGTCATTCAGTTTTGAAAACTCTAAGCCCCAAGATTTATGTTGTGCAGAGCAAGCTTTGGACAGAGGCCTTCTAATCTGAAATACATGGATTTAAAAAAAGCTGTATATTTTAAAACAATTTTAGGCTCACAGGAGGTTGTAAAAATAGTGCAGAGTCTTAAGTGCCCTTCGCCCAGCTCACATGTATGGGTTAAGTATAAGGCCTGCATTGCAGACCCTATTGTAGGCTAGACAGCAGGAGACCTAGGGATGGGCGGATTGATGGGGTGGGGCGTGGAAGTACAGCACACTTGGTAAGGTGGCTTTAGGTGCTGTATCAGGAATCATGAATAAAATCAAGGTGTGGCCTGTATTTGAAAAATTGTAGCCCCATGTGACAGTCCAGGTTTATTATTTATTTTAGTAGTAATTGGGATTGTCTTAATGAAGTATTAATTTGAAATTCACTTTCATTAGTTTTTAAATTTAATTTGTAAGTAGTGAAGAGAGTTAAAAGGAAAAATAAGTGTAGGAGTGAATACCATTTGAGGCATGTTTTCTTTTTCCCTGTTTTGTTTAAGAACGTGAAGGATGATTTTGAGTTCTGTGATGAAAAGTTTTGCTTTTTCTTTGTGTAGGTTCGAAAACATGTGAATGATCTCTATGAAGACTTAAGGGATGGACACAATTTGATCTCTCTCTTAGAGGTTCTTTCTGGAGATACCTTGGTAAGCTTTACATTTCTTAATTTATTTTGAAGAACATGTAATCCTCTTCACAAATGATCATTGTGTTTGCAATACAGACTGCTCTGATTTTTATAGTAGTAATCCTTTGAGCTATGAATTCTGCCAGAAAGAAAAAAGTTTTGGTTAGATACCTGAGCATTCTTCAACTTCAAATGATGTGAATTTGAGAGATTGAAGCACTTTTATTAATTTGCTTATATAATCAGTCCTGCAATTAAAATACTATTTTTGTTCTTGCATTTTTACTTATGGGTTGTTTTGCTTAGCAGAAGTTGGATGCATAGTATAACCACATATTAAAAGACTTACAAATAGCAAGGAAATCAGTATTGCTTTCTGGAAAATGGTCTGACCCATTCTGCAGGTGTCATTTCTTTTTATTTGTGAACGTTACCTCCCCTTCTTGGTCACCTGTTCTTCCTCATTATGTTCTGTTCATGCTCTTCTTTTCATTTCTGGTCTGTCTTGTGTCTTTGCTGTCCTATCTTCTGTCTGTTATATTCATTAGCCAAGGGAGCGAGATTTTTTGAAGACCTTACGATTGGTGAGTTCAACAGAAGCATGTGAATATGAACAGCATGAGGATGTGGAGGATGAGGATAAGGGGGTAGGTGTCGGCCCCCATAACTCGACTAAACTAGCCGGTCCAGTGTGGTGAGCGCTAACCTGGTAGAGAAGTAACTTGTGGCTTCAGCTTCTCTAGAGAAAACTATACAAAGACCCAAAACTCACAGTGAGGAGGTGAATGTGTATATCAGACCAAAACTGGACAAGGAAATACTATCTCTTTAAATTAGTCCTCAAGGACCAGGGCTTTAGCTCAGTGGTTCTGCTCCCTGCCTTGCAAGTGCAAGGCCCCAAGTTCGATCCCTGGTAACCCTCTCCACCAAATTACCCTCAAAGAGATAAATCACTTGAACTGTTTATACACTACTGTGCACTGCATGGTAATTGTACATCTCTGTTTAAAGTATATGGTGACAGTGACATTTTAGTTGAAGAATTTTTATACTACAGTGTAGTATATAAATGTAGAAATCTTGCAGCTATCATACTCATTTTTATACAAATTCATTCCATTTCTGGAATTGATATTTCAAACATGGGAGTCATTGCTGCTTTTTTGGAGGAACTTACTGAAATTTTATTTAGTACTTAAGTTTCTACTTTAAATCATACTGGCAGGAGATATTTGATGGTCATTTTGTATCCAATAATGCCTTACAGTTTTGAGAAGGAATATTTAAAAATCCAGGGTCTTAATAGAATGGAGCTGTTTAATTTCCATGACATGTAGCTGGTGTCAGCCTGCCTTTAGAGGACAGATGTGCTGCTTTTGTCATCTGCATCCCCAAGTGCTCCCTGAGTTCTTTGGAAATAATGCTTTGCTGGATCCAGTGGGTGAATTTGTCAACATTTTTACTTGTTACAGAATTTGTTTTCCCTTCTGTGGTCTGCATTCTGTTTTATTATGGCATTTTTGGCTTTCAGCAGCCTATTCATGTTTAAGAAGCCAAGCTTTTGATTTTCTTTTCTCCCTTTGGACAATTTTGTGTGACAAATTTCAGCTCCATTCTTTGTATTTTATTTAAGCGTTTTTTCAACTCTGTTTCCTTACGTTTTCCTCCTGCTAATTTGTACCATTTCTTAAGGAAATGACACTAAGGAAAATAACTAGGATCGGTCCCTTCCTGAGACTGAGAAAATAACCATGTCCATCCCCATGTGGTATAAAGTTGGTCCTTTTTGTTTATTATACAGCCTGATTTTATGAAAAAGTTAAAAGAAAGAGGAAATATATGGTTTTAGTTGCTTTTCATTATTCTTCTATCATGGACACATAAACCTGTTTTTCTCCTTGGTGATTTTTATACTAACCGCACGCTACTATACCTCATTTTCATTAACTTGCCATATATATAATTATAAAAATATTCTTACTAATAGTGTTTATCAAGAAGGTAAAATGGGAAATGATACTTAGTTATTTCTTGCATCTATAGCTGTATATCTGTAGACCAGAATCGTTCTGTTAGTGAATAGGAGAAGTTTTTGTGTTGTATGGCATTTTTTCTTTTTGTTTTGTTTAAAT